GCTGGGACCACAACTTTCAATATCATTGGGGCATGATTAAGAGATCAAACCAAAGAATCTTTGGTGTACATGAGGGGACTGATATACAGACTAAAGGCACAGAAAAACATAATCAAATTACCCAAATCTAGGGGAAAATATGAACATCCAAATACAAGAGGCATTTAGAAACCAAATAGGATCAGAAAATTACTTATCCATGCCATATTATAGTTAAAATGCTAGGAGTACAGAACAAAGAGTATTGAGAGCTGCAGGAAAGAAGTGCCAAATTGTTTACAAAGAGAAACATCAGAATAGCTGCAGACTTCTCAGCAGAAAACTCAAAATCTAGGAGAGCACTGAATATGTTCCAGATCCTGAAAGTAAATAACCACCAACCAAGTACTATATCAAGCAAAGTTATCCTTTAAAATCAAAGGAGGGGGTTGGAGAAAGAGCTTCATCTGTAAGGTGCTTATGTTACAAATACAAGGACCTGCATTCAGTCTCCAAAATCTACATTTTAAAAAGCCTGGCATGGTAGTATGCACTTTACAATCTCAGCACAGGAGAGGTAGAGACAAGCAGATCCTTGGGGCTTGCTAGCTGGTCCGTCTAGCCTAACTGGCAAGTCGAAGGTAGTGAGAGACCCTGTCTCAAAAAAAAAAAAAACTTAAAAAAAAAAAAAAAAAAAAAAAGACAAAACCCAAAAAAGCCCAAATCAAAATTGGATGGCACATTCTTAATGAACTGGTAGTATAAAGTGACTTTTTCATCTTTTAATTTTGGCCTGAAATCTGATGTATCAGATACGATTACACCTATTCCAGTGTTCTTTCTGACTCCATTTGCCCGAGATACCGTGCTCTATCCTTTCACTTTCCATCTGTATGGACCTTTGCCAGTGAGGTGTGTTTCTTATGACAACAGACAGTTGGTGTATTTTTTCTTTGAGATAGGGTCTCCTGTAGTCTAGATGGACCTCAGACTCTCTGTGTAGCCAAGGATAACCTTGAACTTTTGATCCTTCTACCTCCCAGAATTATAGGTATGCATCATCATGCCTGTAGCACCTATGGGAAAATACGCAAACTAACCCTGTCTCTCTCTCTGTATTATGTGTGTACACATGTAAATCTATTATCTGTATATGAGTGTATCTGTGTGTGTACAGATATGTTAAGAAGGTTGCACTTCAGCATATTTAGGGTCTCTCACTACCTTTTTAAAATTAACATGTAATACTAAGTTATTAACAATGTATGTTTAGGTGCTCAGCATACACGCTGGAAAGATCAGTAACTTTGTTGAAAAATAAGGCATAAAGATCAGCAATACTTTTCAATTAATTGAAGTTTACTGGGTCAGAAATTATTAACAAATTTATAAAATTAGTGGCTAGGAAGATGGCTCAGTTGGAAAAGTGCTTGTTTGCTGTGCAAGTGTGAGGACCTAAGCTGAACCCACAGTATACACATAGAAGCAGAGCACAGGCAGTGGACATCTATAATCACGACACTAAAGGTGGAGACAGGAGGATCTCTGGGGCTTGTTGGCCAGTCAGCATAGCTGAAACAGCAAGCTCTGGGTTTAGTGAAGGACCCTATCCCAAAGACCAAGGTGGAGAGTGACTGAGGAAGACACTCTGTATTAACCTTTCAGTGTATACCCCCCCACACACAACCATGTACAAAATTACTTTAATTGGCTATCATTAACTACACACACAATTGTTATCCCAGTCAACTTATAGATTTGGAACTGATTTCCATAAAGGCATTATTACTAAAGTTGGCAGGTGATTCTGCAGCTGGTATATAAAAAGATACTGTGGTCGCACATAGTCCTCCCTTGGTAGTCACTGCTCATCCATCAGGTGATGTGGGACTCACAGGTGCCTGCTGAATCTGCGGCCCAGAGAAACATCAGGAAATTTCTGTATCATGTTGTCTTTCCTTATTGAGATTTTGGGCATAGAAATAAAGTACTTTATCTCTAGGGAACTCCAAGTGCATACACATGTGCCTTAAAAAATGTATCTAGGGCTGGAGAGATGGCTCAGGGGTTAAGAACACTGGCTGTACTTGCAGAAGACCTGTGTTCGAATCCCAGCACCCACATGGCAGCTTCTTCTGTCTTCCAAGGGCATTGCACGACACGGGTGCACTTACCTACATGTAGGCAATACACGCATACAAATAAAACAAAATAAATAAAATATATTTTTTAAATGTATCTAAGCCAGGCGTGGTGGCACATGCCTTTAATCCCAGCACTTGGGAGGCAGAGGCAGGTAGATCTCTGAGTTCAAGGCCAGCCTGGTCTACATAGTAAGTTCCAGGATAGTTCAGGCTACAGGAAGACCCTGTCTCAAAAAGACCCCCCCCCGAAAAAAATGTGTCTAAGAATATGTGAAGTATTGTGGCACATGCTTGTAAACCCAGCCCTCAGGAGGTAAAAGTAGGGTCATCCTCAGCCACAAAAGCAAGTTTGCGGTCAGCCTCAGCTAAAACCACCCATACTTGTGGTAAGAAAAACAAAAATCCAAATGAGGCAGACCTTTGCACTATTTCCATCAGGAAGCACTGTCAGGAGCCTCTGTCATGCACTTAACTTTTACTTTTCTTTATCCCCTTTTCAGATAACTGGGTAAAGGCTAAACATGTTTTCCATGACATTCTGGACTTTTCCACTCTTTCTCTGAAGCCCCCTCTCCTTTTGCAGTGTGGCTTCTTGCCGACCTCCATTGCAAATGGCATGGCTTTCTCTCTTTTTCTCTATCTTCCTTCTGAGATTTACAGCTCGCCTACCCTTTGTTTTCTTTTAAACTCTTAACAAAATTGTTCTTGAGCTTAAAAAAAAAAACCCAAATGAGATGCCTCATTTTTTCTCAGCTTGGACATTTTTACTCCCATCCTGAAAGAAAACCTGAGCAAACTAAAAATTAACAACTTTCCTGCAATTCATCAGATAATTCAGCTTGAAGGGGTAAACTGCTTGCTGTTCATAAAATTGTAGAGACAGGTAAGAACAGCAACTGTGTGGAGACTGAAAGGCCAAAAACCAAGAGTCTCAAATAAAAAGTAAAATCCCCCACTAAGGTCAGACTGCTTCTATCCGGATCCTGTAATTTGTGACATTTCATGAACACAGTTGGAGTTGGCATCATCACAGCTCTCATCTCAAAGGGAATAAGATATATATTCTGCAGCCAAATGGAAGTGACCATGGCCTGGAACCACAGACTCAGGTTACCCCAAATACCATGTTCAAATGTGGTAACAGTTTCATGAAGTTTTATAGTAACAGAACAAAGAAAATCATAAATCAAATACATTAGTGGAAATAAAGCCGGAAGGATGTGGAGTTCCATGCACACATGCCTAATAATGAGAACTATTCATGGAAAAACAACCTTACACAGAATACAGATGTTAGGAAAGAGAGTGCTCCAACAACTGTTTAATCTTTGACTCATACCAACCTTATTAATTCTTGTAGCCAAGAATTGTTTCAAAATGTCCTATATAATCCTCATTTTACCTTAAAAAAATGTCGTGCCTCAGCCTCTTGTAATGCCTAGTTTACATGGTATGCATATTCCTCCTGCAATCCTCTGGTACTCCCAAGTAAACATCATTCTTTGGAGAATGTGTTGGATTGTTATTAGGTTGACAGTTGTTAACTAGCCCTGCATTCTTGGAATAAATCCAGTTTGATCATGGAGGTACTTTCCTGTGCTATATTTGTATGGTTTGGTATCATGGTAACTGTCTAGTAGAACGAGTTGGGCAGTGACTCTACCACATGCATTGTGACGAGTCTGAGAGAATTCATATTAAAACTTCTCCAGAAGTTTGGTATAAATTGCCAGTAAAGTTTCTAAGCATAGGCTTTTCTTAGTGTATTAAAAAAAACAATGCAATCTCACTGTGGGTAGACTGAGTCAGATTACCTTTCTCAAGTTGGTTTGATAGTTGGTATGCGTCTAGAAATTTGATTTCACCTCAGTTATTTGATGCTGCATACACTGTTCATCTGACTATTTTCTAAGTACTCTTTTGTTGATCTTTAAGAATCTTTTCTTTGAGATAGGGTCTGTGCAGCCCAAGCTGCTTTGGATCTCTGCATCCTCCTGTCTCAGCTCCCAAGTGCTGGGATTACAGGGATGTACTACCACAGCTAGCTTGTTGATCTTTCATAAACCTGCTTTTGGTTTGTTAGTTTCTATTACCTTTTTTTTTTTTTCTTTGTCTTTTTGAGACAGAGTTTCCCTGTAGCCCCAGCTGGCTTGGAACTCAGAGAAATCCACCTGCCTCTGCCTCCCAAACGCTGGGATTAAAGGTGTGTGCCACCACGCCTAGCCAGTCTATTGTTTTATTTCACAGATTTCTGCTATTATTTCCTTCCTGTTGCTTAGATTCTATTCGCTTTTCTTGGGTTACTGATTCAAGACCATCTTTTTTTTTTTTTTTTTTTTTTTTTAAGACAGGGTCTCCCTGTAGCCCCAGCTGTCCTGGAACTCACTAGGCAGACCTGGCTGGCCTCGAATTCACAAAGCCCCACCTGCGCCACCACACCCGGTGAGACCATCATTTTTGATGTACTCCCATCTATAATGTTCCCTCTGCTGTAGTTGTCTTACAAATTACATTGTCTCATTTTCAGAAATCTCAGGTATATTTTTTGTGTTTTAAAATTTTATTATTTTTATGTGTATGCGTGTATTGCCTGCGTGTAGTGCACCCGTGTTGTGCAATGCCAGTGGAGGTCAGAAGAGGCTGTCGGATCCCCTGGGACTGGAGTTATGGAGAGTTGTTAGCTGCCATGTGGGTGCTGGGATTCGAACCTGGGTCTTCTGTAAGAACAACCAGTGTTCTTAACCACTGAGCCATCTCTCTAGCCCCTAGAAATCTCAGGTGTATTTTCTAAAATTCCTTTTATTATTTTACCCTTACATACTTTGGGGTATGTTTCTGCATTTGAATTTCCCAAATTTTTCTGTTACTGAATTCTAGGCTTGGCCAGACATCATCCCAGTCATTCAGACATCATCCCAGGCATTCAGGAGAATGAGGTGAGTGGATCCCTTGAACACAAGGTTTGAGACTAGGCTGAGATCATAGCAAAACCCTATCCTCCCCAAAGAGAAGAAATTCCAAGTTTACCCCATTGTGATTGGAGAATATTTTATTCCTATCCACTAATGTAGCTGTTTAATGGCTTAGCATACAATCTATTCTGGAGAGTGTTCTTGTGCAGTTGAGGAAAAAAATGCTGCTGTGGGCATAATGTTCTCTCCATGCTTCTGGTCCAGTAGACTATGTAGTTGTGTCTTTCTATTCCTGATGCTCTGCTGTTTTTTGTTATAGAAAGCAGGGCATTGACACATCTACGCATTATTGTTAAATTTTCCATTTTTACCTTTAATTTCGGCTAACTTATTTGGTGATATTAGGCACACGAATGTATTTGTACTGGTTCTTGTTTACAATGGACACTTTTTTTTTTTTAAGATGGGGTCTCATGCAATCTAGCCTGGCTTTGAACTCTTGAATTTCCTGCCCCCACCTTGTAAGTGCTGGAATTACAGGTGTACACCACCACACCTGGTTGGATTGACCCTATTTACTATAAAATGTTCATCCTTACTCTAGCACCTTTTTGTTTTAAAAATTATTTTATTTAGCATATACTCTAGTATAGCTCTTGTGCTTTCTGCTTGCATAATATAATCATCCTTCAGTGTCTTGGGACATTGCCCCCAAGGCTCACCAGCTCAGCCCTTATTTAAAATGGTGAGGTTGGGGTTGGAGAGATAGCTCAGTGGTTAAGACCACTGGCTGCTCTTGCAGAAGACCTGGGTTTGGTTCCCAGTACCCACATGGTGGCTGACAGCTGTCTGTATCTCCAGTTCTAGGGGATCCAACACTCTCTTCTGGTCTCCACAGGCATTGTTCAACTCAGGTGCATTTATATGCATGCAGGCAAAACACTCATACATATAAAAATAAAATGGTGAGGTAAATGTATATAACTTGCATACATCCTCCATATGCTTAAAATAATTTCAAGATCACTTACAACACTTAACACAAGGCACACACCACTTTATTTGCACGGATTCTGCATCATATCTACACAAGGTAAATTTAAAATTTGCCTTTTCCGCTTTCTAGAATTATTTTGAAAATTTGTCATCCATGGTGAGTTGAATCCACAGGTGTGGGACCCACTGATATGAAGTCAATGTGTATTATTCATAAATATCCTTTACTTTCAGTCTGTGTTGTATATGTGTGCATGGTGCTGGGGAATCAAGCTGAGGGTTTTGTGCATGGTAGGAATAGCTTTACCACCAAGTGACATCCAATCTATTTGTATTTTTTAGTATAAAGAGTGACTTCTGTGGACACTGTAGAGTTCTGGTTTTTAGTCTGAAATGTTTGCCTTTTGAATTAGTAAGTAACTCACAATGCTATTAGTGAAACAGCTTTATATGCTCGTCATTTCTTTTTCCCAACTTCATTTTTTTATTGCTTTCTTTTGCAAGAAGTGTTTTCTAATTTTAACATTTAAATTTCAATTTTTTCACACCATATTTACATAATGTCCTAGTCATGATTTACCATGTTTCCTATCAGAACAAGCAACATGTACATTCATACTAGCAATTCAGTTAGGTTCAGAAATACCACCCCACGTAGCTATATTCATATGTAGCTTTAATTCTCCATATTTTACACATAATACACTGTATCTATATATAAACTCATCAGAAATTGCTGTAATTACTATGTAATTTGTCTTTTGAAGAAGGAAAATGCTGTTTAGAGATTTTAAAAAATTATGCTAGGCATTGGTGGTGCATGCCTTTAATCTCAGCGTGCAGGAGGCCAGCCAGGGCTACATAGTGAGACCCTGTCTAAAAAATAAATTAAAAATTACAAGTTTTTTTATTGTTGTTTGGTTTTTTGAGATAAGGTCTCCCTGTAACCCCAACTGGCCTGGAATTTACTATGTAAACCAGGCTGCCTCATCTCAGAGGAGGCCTGTCTGCCTCCTAAGTGCTGGGATTAAAGTTATGTACCACCATGCCTGACCAGGTACTTATTTTAAATACAAGGTTGAGTTGCCATTTGGAATCTCTTCCCCACACATGACATCTCTGTTCCCACTTCACTCTAAATCCTTGTCTACTCCTATGGGCATTTCTGTGTTGCAGAAGAAAAGGACATTGTGTATATCCAGTTCTACCCCACTGCTTCCCAAACTAGTTAGGAGATGGTGCTGTAAAAGCAAACATTTTCTTCACCTGAGGGGCTGTGGCACCTACAGCAGGTGTGGGTTCTGGGCTATATAACAGTATGGGCCACTTAGACAGTGGACTTGTCCAAGTTAGGCTTCATGGCACTGACAGTATCTGGGTATGGTGGGGAAGTGCCTCTGGCCACAGATGAGCTCAGCCTTAAGAAAAGGACATCTAACTGGATCCTTGTAGAGAATCTCAGTGCTGAGGATCTAGAGTTCTTAGAACCTAGACCTGAACATGAGCCCCCAGTCTTGGTCAGGGGCAGAGTCACTTTTCCATTTGTGGGATGTTTACACAGTAGACCCACTTTTCCCATAAGAGGTGTTTTAAGAACCTCAGTGGACAGCTCAAACCAGATAGTACCAAACTTTACTTTTCGTATACATATGTACCTATCATAATTTATAAAGCACAGTAAAAAAATGATGCATACCAAAACAGAACTGTAACAATATACTGTAAGTTATACGAATGGTCTAAATATTGGCCTTCATTTATTTCTGGACCACAGTTGACACTGGGAAACCAAAACCACAGATTAAGGTGGTAGATTACAGTACTTTCTCCTCTTCACATTTAATCATAAGTGTTCTTATTTTGCCTGTTTTCCTTACCCCATCCCTAGGTATCCTGAATAGCTGTGGAAACCACTCTTCATCATGCTTAGTCTGCTTTTAACCTGAGTAGTAGGGGCTTGTCTGTGCTTCTGCAACTTGCTGGAGGCTGAGCACCTTGGTCAAGAGTCAAGAGCTGGGGCTGACCCAAGAGCATCAAAATGCAGAAGGGAGTTCAGCTGCCATGACAACCCAGCCTTTCTTGGTCCCTGAACCAGGATGTTTTCCTTTCATTAATACAAGTGTCTGGATACCCTGTCCCTGCCCAACAGATCCTCGGCATAGATGGGATAGCTGGAAGGAGGATGTTATTTAACTGTCAATCCGAAGAACAGATTCCCCAGAAGACCATAGCTGCTTGGGAACAGCAGGGTCACAATGGGGACAGATGTGCCATAGCAAACTAAGGTTGGAAAAGGCAAGAGGGAGTTTTCAAAGACAAAATAAGGAGAATTAAATAAAGTATTAAGGGGGTGGTTGGAGAGATGGCTCAGCGGTTAAGAGCATTGCTCTTGCAGAGGACCCAGGTTCATATCCCAGCACCCATGTGGCAGCTAACACTGTTTGTAACCCCAGTTCTAGGAAATTCGATGCCCTCTTCTGTTCTCTGAAGGCACTGCATGGCACAGGTGCACTTATATACATGCAGGCATAGCATGTATACACATAAAATAATAAAAATTTAAGTAAGGCATTGTGAAATACTAATTCTTGGATACAAGGATCAGTAACAGTGGTGGCACCAGCACAAGGCTGGCAGAGGTCTTAACATAAGTATTTTTGCATTAAACTGTGGTGGCCTTGGTGCAAGCTAAGGTTTTGACAGTCTTGTCTAGTGCTGTGTGTACATCTGGGCCTCATTCTGACGGTCCATGCCAGGACCCAAAGGGAGCAGCTGGTTCTCCCACAGGCCTCACACCTCAGCTGCACCTGCCACTCCTGGAAACAGGGGGATGAGACTAGCACAGAAAATAGGATGGCCTGCAGGTGCTAGAGGTATGACATCATGTGGCCCCATGCAGGCTGACAGGAGATGGCTTACTTATATCCATTTCAGACTTCGAAAACCTGCAGCCAACAAAGCAGGCACCACCCTGCCCAGAGCCAACAATAGAAGGGTGTGTCTGCCTCCTGTAGAGTTCCCTATGCTCTTGCTTTGGGTTTGGCTTTGCTTCTAGGGCGGCCCCAATGGGCTGGTACAGGAGCCAAGACCCAATAGGAGTGCCATGGGAAGGAAAGCTCCCTGTGGTGATTTGAATGAGAATGTTACCCATAGGTTCCAAGTATTTGAACACTTGGTGGCACCATTTGGGGACAGTCATGGAACCTTTCAGGTATGACCTTGCTGGAGGAAGTATGTACTAGGGTGAGCTTTGAGAGTCCATAGCCTTGCCTCATTTTGAGTTTGTGCCTCTCTGCTTCCTGTGCCTGCCTGCTCTGAATGCCTCCTGCCATGCCTCCCCCACTATGATGGACTCTTATCCTTCTGGAACCATAAGCCCAATAAACTCTTCCATCTGTAAGCTCCTTGGTCATGGTATTTTACTACAGCAACAGGAAAGTAATTATATAACCCTCCACCCTGTACTATCATCTCCATTCTGGGAACCTGGCTGGGCCAGTACCTGGGTTTCTCAGCCCCCTAGCCCTATACCTCCAGCCACAGGAGAACAATGTTCATTTTAAGAATCTACTTATGCTGGGCGTGGTGGCTTATGTGAGCCTTTAATCCCAGCACTTGGAAGGCAGAGGCAGGTGGATCTCTGTGAGTTTGAGACCAGCCTGGTCTACATAGTAAGTTTCAGGTCACCTGGGGCTACAGAGAGCCCCTGCTCAAAAAGACCAAAAAAATCCAGAATCCACCTTCAGGCTTAAGAATCCCTCTTCATCCACCTCTAATCCCAGCACTTGGGAGGCAGAGGCAGGTGGTCTACATAGTGAGTTCTAGGCCAGCTGGGGCTACAGAGAGACCCTGTCTCAAAAAAAAAAAAAAAAAAAAAAAAAAAAAAAC